ATGAGAGTGTCATGATGCAATGGGACATTTTGGCTATAAGAAGACTAGTGGAAATCTGATACAACGATTTTGGTGGCCTGGTATGCTAGGCGAAGCTAAACAATACGTCCAGACATGTCAAGTTTGTCAACGGGACAAGCCGCAGACTCAAGCCGCGGACTCAAGCCCCTACCCATTTCTGCTGGTTCTGGACAAAGTGTTTCTATGCATTTCGTGGATACCCTCATGACCAGCAAAAGTGGCAGGAGACATATCTTTGTCATAGTTGATATTTACCAAGTACGCTAGACTGATTGTCATGCCAGAGACCGCAAGGACATGGGTACCTGGGTGCGTAACTTTGGGTTGCCAAAGACTATCATTAGTGACAGAGATGTTCATTTTACCAGCGAAATGTAGAAGAAGGCTGCAGAACAGATGGGCAGCCAACTCCTGATGACTTTTGGGAATCATCCCGAAGCCAACGGGCAAGTTGAAAAGATGAACCGAGTGATGCAGCATCTGCTGAGGCATTACATAAAGCCCTACCAAGATGACTGGGATGAGGAGTTACCTCTCATCACCAGCTTTGTACAACAATGTTGTGCACAGCACCACTGATGTTAGTCCGAATCAGCTGCATCTGGGATGAAAGCCTAGATCTGCTCTAGACTTTCTCCTACATGAAAACCGACCTGCAGCAACTCCTGGAACCATTGAATTTGGTGTCCTGTACGAGAAGTTGCTGCAGCAAGCTGTCGAACACATCAAGAAATCTCAAGAAGCAATGATTGTTTTTGAGAACAAACATTGACGACAGTCCACATTTCAGGTAGGGGAACGTGTTTGGGTTAAGTCCAGTGAGTTAGGGCAGGAATTGGGCATCTCTAGGAAACTAATGCCTCCTTGGGAAGTCTTGGATATTGTGGGTAGTGAAGAGGATGGTCCCTCGTATGTGATTCAAATTCCTAGTCACTGATGCACTTACCCAGTGTTTCACGCCTGAAAGCTTGCACCTTTCGCTGAGACACACCAGTTCCCATCAAGAAGATCTATGCTGCCTCCAACCATGGATGGCTACGTGGACGTCGACGACATTTGGAGCACAGAGACATGCCTGTTCCTAAGCCTGTGGGTAGAAGGAGACTGCCGAAACCCAAGAGGGAATACAGGGTCAGATTCAGGTATCATACAGATCCAAAAGAAAACCGATGGTTCAACAGAGAGGAACTGATTGAGACAACACCTCAAATTGTGGCAGATTATGAAAGAAGATTGAAGGGGAAGGCACCTGCATAGAAGCATCTCAGCTGACTTTCGAAGCTAAGGGGGATGGAATGTGAGGACTGTGTCCTCCAGGGCCCTAGGCACCATGCATATATTCTGGAATGTGCCCCCCCAGCAATGCCTCGTGGCCACCCTAAGTGAAGGCGGGCCTGAATATTCACAAGAGGCCCTTATCTCAGCATTTTCCAAATACGGGTCTCAGACAGTTGCAGCACGACAGTTGGTTGAAGTGCAACCTGAGCCTTACCCTGGGCTCTTCCAGAAGAAGCAACTGCGCAAGGCAGTTGAGCCCAGGGCCCGGGTGGTTGTGCCCTGGGCACACATATTTTGAGGCCAAAAGTGGCCATGGGCCAACGAGAAAGCAGCATTGTCGTTGTATCTACCCCGTGGACCAGTGCAAATGCAGCAAATAGCCGGAGCCTGGGAATTTGTGGGAAATTGTGGATTTGCCCAACTGAAAAGGTCCCAGGCCCTCAACTGTCGAAGATGGGCCTGGGCGCAGACAACGGGGGCCTACCAGAAGCTACTGGAAACCTCCACGGCCAGGCCCAGGGAGTCCAGTAGCAGCTGCCACTTCCATATATGAAGCCAGCCAGCCAGGGAAGGGCATTCTGTCCTAGGCAGGCAATGCGGACATGCTTCTGCGCTTGCAAGCAAGTGTCAGCATGCGCGTTGCTGGCTGGGGTGCGCGTGGGCGCTGAGAAGTGAGGAGCGCTGCAGGGCAGCAGGGTGTTAGCGGCCATAGCCTGGCTGCAGGGCGCGAGGCAATGGAGGGCGACAGAGGGTCTTCGGGAGGAGGCGCAGAAGTGGGTGGACAGGGGGTGATGAGGGAGACGAGAGTACGTACCTGGTGTATGTGGGAGGTCCGCATTGGTGTTGACGACATGTACATTGATCTTCAAAGTCGAAGTGAGCCTGTTGCATGAACGTAGGTAGGATAGGTAGGACGGGTAGAGTAGACTGGGCGCTGGGCGCTAGACAGAGAGGAGCGACATTGAATACTGTGTTGGTGTGGCCTGAGGGCTTGAACATTGGCTCACGAGTTCATTGTATTGCTCTTATTTGGATGGAATCTTGGTGCATTTGAGCTCTCTGCTTGTTACAGGACTATCTGGACTTCTGCGTGATTTTGCAACTTGGTTTTCTGTATATCGCTCTCGCTCATATTCCTTGTACTTAGGCCTGGACCGTTGCCTCAGTGTTATGAAAACGTTAGTAAGATTATTTACAGTCCTTTGGGACATTCGCTAAAATTGGATCGATACAGAGTAAGAGAAAATAGCATGGCCGCGCCTCAAGGATGACAGGCGTAAATTGAGAAATGTCCAAATTTTTTAAAAAGAAAGAAAGAAAAAAGTAAGATTATTTACGTGCTATTCGTGCTATTCGCAGTGCATGCTCATCCTAATTCCATGTTTACTATTTAACTTGCCAGCGTCCCTTTCTGCCCGTCTCTACCATAGACTCATAGAGACTATTAGGGAGACACTCAGTGTTCTTTTTTTTTCTTTTTCTTTTTTTTCAACCGGCGAAGGGCTTCATTCTATTACTGGGGAGCTGCACCTGCTGGAAAACGGCTCCACCGTCCCCCATACAGTAATAGTACAAAAATTTACAAAAAATTACAAAAATTTACAAAAATTAACAAAAATTAACAAAAATTTACGAAAATTTACAAAAAATTACAAAAATTTGCAAAAATTTACAAAATGAACAGAGAGTTGAAAAGTGGAAGTGTGAACTGCCTCTTCAGCCAGTGGCCCAGCAAGCTGGCTGCAATATGAAACTGATAAATCATCTACGAAATCTTGCATTTTCACTATGACTGAGTAGACTTTGAAATCAACAGCCAAATGTGGATGCCACCTGCAACCTTGTCATTCATATATTCCGCGGCAATTTCCGCCCCGCATACCATTGACGATCCATCAAATCAAGCTCAGAAGGGGGGAAAAAAGACATTCAGTGTTCTTGATGTGCTATCTGACTGATCTCAGATTTGTTAGCTATCGTCGTGCCCCGAACACAACACACCCTCAGGCTGACGTTGAACATATAAAAGCTATATTTCCGGTCCGATAGAGTTGTGTTCCCGGGGCTGATCCTGTGTCACATTGTGGTGATCGCTCTTTAAGCGTGCTGCTGAATTTCAGATTGTTTGATTCCGCTGTTCCTTTTTTTTTTTTTACTTTTACTTTTTAAAATTTTAATTATAAAAATTTTGAACCATCTGGCCTAGCTCAGTTGGTACACCCCCCTCCTGGACTGAACTGTTGAAATCCAGACCAGGTGCTGAGTTCGAACTCCACTGGAAGCAGTTGAGTGAAATAGTAGAATGCTGAATTACCTAGGACTGGTCAATTGGATGATGATGTCTCAATTACGGCCGTTGGCCCCATTGCCCTTTTAAAAATTGAAAAACAAAAAGAAAAAAAAAACATTTCTCGATTACGCCCGTCATCCCTGAGCAGGAGCTATGCTAACATTCTCTGCATTGTTGCAATTCTGATGCATGTAGCTGTGCATCAAAACTGGAATGATGCATCAGGAAAGATTTGTCGGATTGCACTTTCGTACTTGTGCATGAAAATACAAAATTGGAACGATTTTGATGCACAGGAGCCGTGCTAATGTTCTCTGCATAGTACCAATTTTGATGCTAATCTTTCTCGATTTACGCCCATCATCCCTGCACAGTACCATCTGATCCTTATCATCACATCATCTCTTTGGGAATGTGTTGGGAATTCCACGGTTTCATTGCCTAGTAGGCAACTCCACTGTTGCAAGGAAAATGAGCGACAGTGAATTCCAGAAACCAAGCAGCATCATACACATGAAACCAGATAGTCGTGACCTCGAACCAAAAGCAGAATTGCAACTTGAGTTCCACCAAATAAGAGCACCGCAAAAGCTCACAAGTGACAATGTTGGAATAATCTCATCATCATCAACAATGAACCAATGTCGATTCCCTATCTGGCGCTCAGCGCCCAGACTACGAATGGCAGATCCTATCTAGACTATCTACAATGCCGCTGGTGACGTCAACAGCTCCCCGAAGTACGAGCAGATCTCGGCCAATGCCGTTTGCCTCAAGCACCAGGTATGTCTCACGCATCACTCACAACCTCGATCCCGCACACAGATGCCACGTGCACCCAAGGACCATCATGCGCCCCATCCAGCATCTCGCAGGCCAGCTCGGCTATGGCTGCCTGCGTGTGCCCTGCTCGCCCGTGAGCGCGCGGGCGCTTGCCTGTCAGTAGCGCAGCAAGTAGCAAGTGCCTGAATGTTCCATGCGGAGGCAGGCACTTTCTTTTATCAAAGTGGCCTGCCTGCTGCATGCTGCCTGGCTGCGCTGGGCCCCTTCCCAGAAGCTTCCGGTACTCAACCAGCTGGCACTGCGCAATCGCCTGAATTTCCCAGCTGCGTTCAACCCAGCAAAATAGGCCTCTAGTGCCTTGTCAGGCCCGCCTTCACTTAGGGCTGCCGTTCTGGCTGAAACAGGGCCCAATAGGGCTTAACGAGGCCTTGAGCCTCGCAAATACATAACACACACAGAAAACTCAGGAAATCACCTACCTAGTACTACCTAGTACGCATCCTCGTACTCACTGATTTTTCTCTCATCACTGTCATCAGGTAAATGTGGAGGCTTGAAGGAGTCTTTGAGTGGAAGGATTGAGTTCCGTAAGTTCGGAGTTTTTGACTACGAGTTATGGAGTGTGGGGAGGAAGATGTTATACGCCACGATATTAATGCTCAAGGCATCTTCTTCTAATCTTTGGTTCCAATTTGTGTAATCATTCTCTTGAAGGAGTCTCATCACTGTCATCACTCCAATTGGAAGGAGTTGGAACCTTGAAGCGAAGTATAAGTCTTAACTTACTGGTGGAGGACGACAAGCGCTATGGAGATGGAGTCCATGCTTCCAGTTGACATTGTAAGCTTTCTTTCCTGGACCACCACCATCATAGTTACTGCCGTAATCTTCTCAAACCCCACGTCGGTTGTGATGTGTGAGAGCAGCAGTCATAATAATGCTGCAGCAGGAATGAGCACGAAGACGGAACTCTTCCTAGAACATCGCCAAATCCAAATCCTGGAAGAGCAGCAAAGCCCGCTGACGATTATCGGTGAGGCAATCCTGGCGAACCATGGGGATGTTCTCTCTTCACCGGCCAAGGGTTTTGGCACTCAGATCCTCATCGATGCTATTGCTCTGTCTGTGGATGAACGCACCATTTACTATACGGAAAAGTATCATCGGACAGTGAATGCTACGTGCATTGCAACATCGATCGTGAAGAAGGCGGAATCCTTTGACACCGCGTTGAACATCTCTTACCTTGCTGGACCATGGTTCAAACCTGGGTCCAACCAATCCTCCTCAAACTCGAGTGTCGTGCAGGGACTCCTGATGCTAGATGATGTCAATTTGCTTGTGTCAGATAAGGACAACTCCTTCCTCCGGATGATCAACGTAACGTGTGGCACCGAGGTTAACACGAGGCATATATTGCACCCTTTACAAATGGCCAAACATCCAACACAGGAGGCCTTTTTTGTCTCATCGCAAGACAGCATCCTCAAAGTCCCCTTGACGAAGCCGGAGGCCTGGCATCCGAATATTGTCATCGCGGGCGCAGAAAATGAGAAAGCAGACTATGTGGACAGTGTGAACAAGAGCGAGGTCCGGTTTGCGAATCCAATGATAGGCCCACAGGCTGTTTCACGAGACGGAAGAGTTATGTACGTTGCTGACTACTGGAACAACGCGGTGCGATGGGTAAATATTGTTGGAGGGGGGGCTACAGAAACCGTAGCAGGACTGAGCCAGCCCGGGTTACTTCCTGAAGGGGGATTCAAAAACCCCAACGGTGTTGTCTTGACGTCAAACGGCTGCAACTTGTTTGTTTCCGACCGGAACAGTGGACAAATACACTGGCTTGCCTTCTCTCAGCCGGGAGGCGGGAAGCCAGTATTTCTCAAAACAGTTGCAGTCCTACAGAAGTCCAACGGGGAGCCCGAGCTGATCACATCTCCCTGTCTCTCGAAAGATGAACGATTCTTGTTCATTGGCACAGGTGATGGCCAGATACTGAAGCTTGAGCTGAACAGCAGTGCTTTACGCCGCTGCGATGGTGGCGGTGGGGCTGGAGGCAAAGATGCTTCCCTACGTTTGCTGACTGGTCTGTCCCTCGGACTGATCTCCGCGATATTCCTCATGATAGGATGTGCATTGTGGATTTTCGTCTTCCAGGCACGGCGATTCGAAAAGGCACAACACGCTGACGTAGACAAGAATGAGATTTATCCTGCTAAGGTCTTGGTGTCTGCAGCAGGGTCTTCCGATGTACTAGGGCCTGCGACGAGCAGAGGTGTCACTGAGTTCCCATCTGCAATGCTGGAGATGACAGTTCAAGAGGGAAGCTGTCTGACAGGGAACGGTAGTAAGAACAGCGATGTGCACAGAGCGGCCATCGTGATTGGCGGAAATAATACAGCAGTCGCTATCAAGGTAATGAGGTGGGAATCAGACGACAGCAGCGAACAGAAGCGATTCAGGGAAGAGATCAGATCGCTGGGCGATTTGCAGCACAGGCACCTCGGCAAACTTCTTGGCTTCTGCATTGAGAAGGGGAGGTGTTTCCTTGTCTACCCGTTCATTGAGCATGGGTCGTTATACAACTGCTTGCATGACCATCAGGTAATGGCGTTATCATCGCGAGCGGGCGACAGAAATGGGCCAACGAAACTCCCATTAGGTTGGCAGGAGCGGATGCTGATCGCGCGACAAGTAGCAGCCTGTTTGAGGTATTTACACCATGAAGCAGACCGACCTGTTCTTCATTGCAATATCAAGAGTACGAATGTGCTAGTCCAGGGGAAAGGGGAGATGGTGCATGCGTACCTGTGCGATTTTTGGTTCGTGAAGCTCGGACACGTGCATGGTCGTTCAGGCGGGCTGCATCATGATAGTACTTCGACCGGCGAGGCAGCAGTTCATGTGAGCATGCTAACTTTCGACAACCCTGGGTATATGCCACCGGAATGTAGTGAACGGATGCAGAGAACGCCATCGATGTCATTGGATGTTTTCGCTTTTGGGGTGTTACTTCTTGAGCTCTTGACAGGACTGTTACCGATGGTGCAGCTCGCAAACGGTGATTCGGTGCCATTGTGGGAATGGGCAAGGCGTTGTCCCCTTGAGGGACTGGTGGACCCAAGCATAAGGATGTCATTGACACCAGCTGCATGGAGGATGACCAGGGTAATTGTTGGGCTTGCTTTCCAGTGCACAGATGGATTAGGATTGAATCGTCCTTCCATTAAAAAAGTAGTGCATGAGCTCGAGACCTTCACCACAACAGATGAAGGGTTCCAAGAGTAACGATCGAACGCCTTGCAGCCATCGTCAATGTCATGCTTGTGCTGCTATCCACATCACGATGGTGGGTTATCAGTGTCCACCGAGTCATCATGATGATCTTCGAGTGCAACTCAATGCCCATCATCCATAATTGGCTCCCATCATGGTGGGGCGTTGAAGAGGAGGCGAGATGGGGAGGTGTTTTGAGAGGCAGTTGTAGAGGAGAGTAAGATTGTCACGCCTGATGATTTAGGGGGGACAAGTGGCGAAAGTGGGAAGCCATATAGAGTTGTAGTTACCTATCATGGGGCAACGAAAGGGGAGAGGGGAATGGGAGGGGAAAGGTGGGACTTTCCCAAGCTGGTTCAAATTGGTGCTTTGGTTCTCCGGTCTCCTTCGGAGCAAATAGAAAAGGTGGAGGTTGGCCGGGCGGAGCATCGAAGCTGGGTTGCAGGTAGATAGACTGAGAACAGTGAGAGCAGTATTGCGTCCCCACCTAGGCTACCAGCCGGGCCGCCCGGGTGACCTTGATTGCCGGGGCGGCCCGGCCGTGCAAGGGCCAAAGTGGTTCCCAGCAAAAACAGAAAACAAAAAAAACGCAAAAATCTGAAAAACAAAATGTTATGCAGAAAAATAAACTGAACAAATTTTGCCTCAGGGTCACATCGAAATTCCTTACCTAATGAAATATACAAAATAAAGTTATTACTAGGCTACCAGCCGGGCCGCCCGGGTCCCGGGTGGCCAGCCCGTGCAAGGATCAGGTAAGGTCCCARMAAAAAAAAAAAAAAAAAAAAAATCCAAAAATTCTGAAAAACAAAACTATGTTATGCAGAAAAATAAACTGAACAACTTTTGCCTCAGGGTCACATCGAAATTCTTCACCAAATTTAAAATAAAAAATAAAATTCAAAAATATTTTTTTTTTTTTTATTTTTTTTAAATTATTTTGGCCCGGCCGGGCAAGTGACCCCGGGCCACTCTGGTAGCCTAGAGTTATTATTAATTTATTATTTTATTTTTTTTGGGACCGGCCGGGCAAGTGGTCCCGGGCCACTCTTGTAGCCTAGGAGGTCCCCACTAGATTTATTTTTCCTTTTATTTTTTTTGGCTCAAGGCCTAGCTAACTGAGATATTTAGCGACGTTTTTAAGAAAGATGCCAGCAAAGCCTGGCGGTATTCCTCCTCTTTTTCAAGTTTTTTGTTTAATAACTTTAATTTAATAAGAAGAACGGCGGCCTTGAGATATGATCATTCGACTGAATGGCCTCAGGTAATTCGGAATTATTTTATTCTGTAACATTCATCTCATGCGGTCGGATCTGGATTCGAACCTGGGTCTGTATTTCAACAGTTCATGGGTGCACCAACTGGGCTGGGCCCGTTGGTACTTCCTTCGCTGAGTCCCATTTTTCAACAGGAGTAATCTATGTTGCTAGGGTGTGCTTTGACATAATTGGGCTGGATTACTCTGCTCCTTTTTGTGCCTGTGACTTGTATGTTGGTGGAGGACGGTACCTGGGTTTAAATTTAAATCATATTCTTATGGGGAACAAGACCTGGTTTCCTGCAGGTGCTCCCGGTGCTGATCCCCACCAATAAGACCGGGATTTGTGTTTGTGTTTGTGTTTTTGTCTGTTTTTAACTTTTTAATCCAGGTTCCCATCAGCCTGATGAGATGAGACAACCATTGGGTTTATGATCGTTGGATCATTGGGATGAACCTTTGTGGTCTGTGCTGCCCAGGGCACAAGCTGGACCAATCCCGTGGGAGCCGTGCATGCCTGCCACAGGCACCATGAAGATAAAACTTCAGTTTGTCAGAGAAGAGATTCAACGGTGATCGTATCCTCAATGAATCTTCTCAAAGATTCTGAAGAGATTCGATGGGAATCCGCTGGAGTTCTTTCCTCATTCATACTTCACATCCTGTCTCAGGGTGTGCTCACACTACTACTGTCTTCACCCGAATAGAACGCCCGGTCATTATAGCTGCATTTAGCCCAACTTTCAGTCCAGATGCAGCAATAATGACTGGGCGTTCTATTCGGGTGAAGACGGTAGGACTTTTTCTACACAGCTCTGGACGTGATTGCAGTCAGATTCGTGCAGGTGTGGCCGTGATGCAGTCAGATGCATTTTGGAAGGTGCTAGTCTGAGTATGCCCTCAGGGTGTGCCGAGGCCATGCATGCCCATGATGTGGCCGTGATTGCAGTCAGTTGCATTTACTATGCAAGGACCTGCACAGAATCAGTCTGAGATTTCTGCAGTCTTCTTTGTATTGCCGCTTGCTGGTTTGATTAGCTAAGATTTCCATGTTTGGGTTGCTATTTGCTTGCCTATGTCTCTAAGTGCCTATCCCATGACTGCTACGCTGCGTACTAACTCTGTGTGTGTGTGTGTGTGTGTGTGTGTGTGTGCTGTGTTTTCTGTTTCCCAGGGAAGGCTAGATCAGAAATAGGGGAACCAACAGGGGATAGGACTGAAATTAAACACTGGACGGACTTAGTAGAAGGCCGGGGCAGACAAGGCCGAATTTGAGAATTACCCGATAGGGATTGTTCATCAGCTTGGGTAAACCCAAGTCCGGTAGGCTTAGGTAGGTCTAGTGGACTCCAAAAGAGGTCATGAGTGTTGAGACCCGTGGCCAGGTAGCTCTTAGGCTATAAATTAGTCTGGTAAATGAGCTGCAGACAAAGGCAGGAACTTCCCGAAGGCCTTGAACGCCGGAGGAGACAGTAGTGCCTGGCCATGGGAGGCTGGAGGCTGGGTGGCAAGAGTATATCATTTGGCAGAAATTAGTAAGGTGACACATTCCTTGGCCAGTCGTGCTGCTGCTCCGCCCAGAGGGTGAAGTTAGGCAGAGCTCTGGCTGAGTTGGAGGGTGAATGGGGAAGACCTCCGCAGCTATGGAGTAGTAGTAGTAGTAGTAGTAGTAGTAGTAGCAGCAGCAGCAGTAGCAGTAGTAGCAGTAGTAGTGGTAGTAGTGGTAGTGGTAGTGGTAGTGGTAGTGGTAGTGGTGGTAGACTAGTGGTAGTAGTAGTGGTAGTAGTAGTGGTAGTAGTAGTGGTAGTAGTGGTAGTGGTAGTAGTGGTAGTAGTGGTAGTAGTAGTAGTGGTAGTAGTAGTAGTAGTGGTAGTAGTTTTGGTAGTAGTAGTGGTAGTAGTGGTAGTAAGGGTAGTAGTAGTAGTAGTGGTTGTAGTTGCTACTGCTGCTACTGCTACTGCTACTGCTGCTACTGCTACTGCTACTGCTACTGGTGTTGCTACTGCTGCTGCTACTGCTGCTGCTACTGCCCTCCTCGTTTCAGCCTCTTGCTCGCTTCTCTTCTTCCGGTTGCATATCAAGCTATGGCAGTTCACCCATGTCCAACATGGATGTTCAAAGGACAATGCAACTGATACCATGCCTCTTTCATCTCATGCTGCGATAGCCACTCTCGGATGATGTCTAAGACCAGCTGGTACCCACACAAGGGCCTTCTAGATGCAGTACCAGCCAGGGAAGTGAAGATTAAGGTAGCCAAAGGTGAGTCCCCTAGCCTAGGCCTAAAGCCTACTACTACTACGACTACTACCACCACCACCACTACTACTACTACTACTACTACTACTACTACTACTACTACTACTAGTAGTAGTAGTAGTAGTAGTAGTAGGCTTTAGGCCTAGGCTAGGGGACTCACCTTCGGCTACCTTAGTGGTGGTGGTGGTAGTAGTAGTAGTAGTAGTAGTAGTAGGCTTTAGGCCTAGGCTAGGGGACTCACCTTCGTCTACCTTCATCTTCACTTCCTTGCCTGGCACTGCATCTAGAAGTCCCTTGTGTGGGTACCAGCTGGGGTACCAGCTGGTCTTAGACATCATCCGAGAGTGGCTATGGCGGCATGAGATGAAAGAGGCATGGTATCAGTTGCATCGTCCTTTGAATATCCATGTTGGACATGTGTGAACTTCCATAGCTTGATATGCAACCGGAAGAAGAGAAGCGAGCAAGAGGCTGAAACGAGGAGGGCTCTTGGAGAGCTGGAAGGAAGGGGGACTGCTGGGACAGATTCCTGTTCATTCATTCGTTTGTCGCTGTGATGAAATGGTTATTTGAAGAGCCAGAGGAAAAGGAAAGAGGATAAGATGAGGAAGAAAAGAGGGGGTGGAACATTGGTTCCATCCAATTGTGTAATTCTTCTTCATCTTCTATCCTCTTCATTCTTCTTTCGCTTCCTCTTTTCAGTTCACCAAGTCCTGCTTTTCTCAAACTTTCAAGTTTTGCATTATGGATGATGTAAGAGCATAACACTTATTGGATCTGTGCTGTAGATGGCTAGGTTGAAGGTTTGGAGGCGATCAAACTGTATGCAGTTGGCATTTGGTGAAGATTCCAGGGAATCTATCTTGGAACCATAGTGACCGTGGTGCTCTCAGCCTTAGCGGGGAGAAGTGCGATTGTGTTTTTTTATGTATATTTCCTGTCAGTGGTGGTTGGCCAGACTGTGTTTTCTGTGTATATTTCGGTATTATTTCCTGTCGGTGGTGGTTGGCCAGACTGCTTATCTGCAGAATGGAAGGGGTACGTGAGCTTGGGAAGAAAAAAAAATGGTCTTGTCTGTTTTAGAATGGGGTCGTAGCAGCTAGTACTATAGCACTGATCTTATTCCATCAGGATTCAAACTCACGATCTGTTTACTAACAAATGCATGTATTCTTTCTTCAGCCACCATCACCTCTGAAAAATGGGGCCAGCTGTTGCAGACCAAGGAAAGACCTGCGAGTGTTGGATTCACAATCCAATAATGGACCAACTGAAAAGGGTGGGCATCCTGGTAACCAGGGCAATCCATGCAAACAGTGTGCGTGCTGCGCTGGTTATCCCGTAGAAACAGGGCAATTCCGTGCCGAAGCAACTGAAAAAAGGTGGGCCTCCTATTAACCAGGGCAATCCCGTGCCACAGCCCATTTTGATCTGCGCAACACTTGCAGGAGGTGATGGGCATGTCGTTGGGCAATGCTATGAGGCACAGCAACTACACGCTAAACGCATGTCACCAAGAGCGAGTGAGGCAGTACAAGACGGAGCATGGACTGGGAGAAACGCCTCCTCCATATGGAGCAGCGGTGGGGGCTGAGCCAGCCGGATATGCTGTTGGGAGGGGTGACCACGAGATGGATGAGTATCACCGAGGGCAGCCCATGCCGAGGGCAAGACACATGATGACGAGGGAGAGGTCGCGGATTGGGACAGCAGTGGGGAAGAGGTGGACATGGGCCTAGGCTTTTCCTTGGATGAGGCAGGGTTTATGCAAGGCGCTCGGCGAGGCCAAAGAGAGAGTGGCGGAGAGAACCGTGGTGGCCGAAGGGAAGAGGAAGGAACTGGGAGGGTTAGGTGTTGTCCACAAGCAAACAACAGATATTGAGACTGTGGATGAGCAGAGAGAATGGAGGTGGAACGCGAGTCAGCCCATGTGAGGAAGTCGTTCTTACATGATTCCACCAGTGTGAGGGAATTTTGAGATGGTAGACCCATTGTGAACATCCTCACTGCAAGCATGAGAGGGGTTGTCGAGCCCGATGATGCTGAGTGCGTGCTGCAGAATTGGCTGGAGATATTTGACGATTGTGGTTCGAGTTGTGTTAACACGACCTGTATTGACTCCACTCAGCCTATGTGGTTGTCGCAAAGGAGTTGGCGAAGAAGGACACCCCCTTGATCCCATGGTTCACATGCATCACATGGCTCCCTTGTTGTCTCGACGTCTGCAGCCGGTTGTTGCCACACATTGGCATCCTGTGCAAGTAGACTTTAAGAGGTTATATCTTGAGAGGGAGAGCAGTACTGCATTTTAAAAAGATCGCATTATGTTGCTCTTAGCTTTTTTCGGTGGTTCAGCCCCCATCTGGGCGCCGTTTACCCTTGTGAGACGTCTTTCCTGTCTGTGTACTCTACGCTCAAGAAGCTCGTCGCCTTTGAAAAACTGCTGAAGAGGATGATGTTGAGCAATGACTGGTCCTCTATCCCTTGGTATCCGCAGCCTAAGCAGTTGCCGTCGGTGCAGGTGCGGGCCAAGAACACTGCATGGTAGGAGTCAGTTATGAAGTCGATAGACCCTGTTTTTCAGTTGATCAGGATGGAAAGTGCTGCACGGGGTCTAGTTGGAGTTGGGATTTTCCATCTGATTGATCTGGCCAATTGTTGTAACTATGCTGTTGTGTGTACATACAAATCAGGCGGGTAGGGTGCGTAGTCCGCAGCGTGTTGGGGAGTTCTTGCCGGGGAGAGAGAGAGAGAGAGAGAGAGAGAGAGAGAGAGAGAGAGAGAGAGAGAGAGAGAGAGAGAGAGAGAGAGAGAGNGGGGGGGGGGGGGGGGGGGGGGGGGGGGGGGGGGAGCACGTTCACATCTCAGGTGTTGCAGTGGTGTTGGCAGCTTGCAAGTCTTGTTTCATCTGTGTCTCTCCCTGAGTGCATGATGGACAACACCCCGAAGTGGGTCCAAGCGCGGACGAGGCACATGTCTGAGCCAATGGATGCAGTTACATTCCTGATCCACCAACGCCAGTGGTCTGTGCAGTATTACATAGGCGTGGAGAGCGCTTCTGATGCATTACTCATGTAATGTGGACACATCTACTTGTTGACCCAGCCTAGGTCCGATAGTCATGACAAGTTGTATCACATGGTGACTTCACATCTCAAAGATTTTCACTTACGGGCCAGCAAGTTCTCGCCTTACAGAGGCCCATAGGGTGATACTGATGCAGTGTTGCGAGGGGGACCGCGAACCGGAGCAGTGTGCATTGTGGTGGTTGCTGTGGGGATTGTATGCTTCCGAGTGCAAGCGTTTGCTCTTCATGTGATACACATGTGGATGTGTGCATATCGAGCAGAGGAGAAGAACCAGTTCGTCCATAAGAGCATTCACAGGATGAAGTGTAACCCATTGTAGTTTGACAAGATTGTGTAACTTGTTGAGGTTTTAGCAAATGTCCAACTTGTTTCGTATGGGCACACTTGAGGGGGATACGTGCTTCCCTGGCAGTAGAATGAGTTCATGCTGCACGAGGAGGCAAATATCCCGGTGGAGCCAGAGGATGAGGGTACATGCACAGTCATGGCCACAGCTAAGCGTGACAGGCAGGTGGACTTGATTTTGTAGGTCATCCTGGCATGCACACCTGCTCTTGTGGAGGCGGTGTTTCAGAGGTTGACATTGGGTGGCCGTGACCCGACCCGACCGTACCCAGCCGTACCCGACAGTTCTGGACGGGTGCGGGTATGACATGATTAGTATGCACCGGGGCAGTTGGGTCTGGAAATCTGAGGGGTGGATATGGCTGGGCCAGGAAACTGTAGGGTGGGTGGCGCTGGGTGTTGACATGGTGCCTGGACGGTTACGGCCGGGCAAAGGTTTGCCTTGGTTCCGGGTACGGCTGGGTAGAGGTTTCAAGCGGGTGACCCGAGCCCTGTAGGCATACTAGGCATATTTGGCAAGCCTAGGTAGTATTAGGGCCAGGCCTGACCCTTTTTCTTCACTGGGAAATAGTGGTACTAGTGGGGTGCGCCCCTAGTATAAATTTGTCTTTGGCCGTCTGTTATTTGTCTTAGGGCCGAGGTATTACTAGTGCCAGACTGTACTATTAATTTGGCCTGGCCCCAATCGTTTCGTCCTAGGGAATACAGCATTCACTAATAGGCTCTGGCCATAATTGCGGTCAGATCCATCGAAATCTGGCTGTAGTTGAGGCCAAATGTAGACAAGAAAGTATCAATGTGAGTATCCCCAGCCACTGGCCCATTGCCGGCGCCAAAATTTGAAGCGGAAATCTGTGGATGGAAGCTAAGGAATCCGACATGCAAGGCCTAAGTTTGAAATAAAGATAAAAGGTAAGACTAAGCCTGGGTGGAAAATTTTGGGCACAGGTACGGCTGGGCACGGGTGGATGGATAGTAGGTTCGGGTGCGGCTGGATGCAGGTGAAGGGGATTTTGGCTTGGGTGTGGCTGGGTATGGGTAGACAATTTTTAAATCACCCTGGGTGGGCTGGGTACGGGTAGAAAAAAAATTAAATTAGCGTGGGTGGGCTGGGTCTGGGTAAAAATAATAGTGTTTACATGGGTCCGGCTAGATATGATACATCAAGGCTCGAGCTGGGTCGGATATGGGTAGAAAAAAAAATGGTTTTGCGACCTCTGCGGTGTTTAAGGGGCACACTACGATTTTGTGTTCTTACCCGCGCGACGATAACTCTGAGCTTGAGTAGGCAGATACGGTGGTTCACCTGACTGTATGAGAGCATGCTGAGGTTGATACGACTGCTGATTGGATTGACATTGTTGAGGGGCAGCGGAGACATGGTTTGCCAGAGCAGATTCTCTTCGGAGGAACAGGAGGATGATTGGAGAGTATACGGAGAGGCAATGGGTGGTTCTGCAGCTTCTGCTGCCGGGATGTCATTCCTTGCAGCAAGTGGTCATCCTATTGGAACCTCATTGCGTACAAAAGGTGGTTCTGCTGTCCGGACCTCTATCCATGCAGCAAGTGGTTTGGTGCCATGCCGCCAACCTGCAAACCACCCTCTATCCCACCCAGGGCATGCCGTAAACGATCTCCCACCCGGAGGGGTGACAACGACTCGCCTGCCTGACTCTAATTCTCCCTTTCGATATCGTATCAAGTCGAGACCCGGATTGGTGTTACAGCTAGATCTTCCAAGCGCTGGGTTCTGGCAACACCAATAGCCAGTGCTTTGACTAAGATCTCCCCAATTTGTAGGCGAGTAGCACTGATAGCATCGGAGTGGGACTTCCATCCGATATTGCTTATAGCTGAATTAGACCACTGAACAAGCAAATGGAGGTTACTTTGCGGGGACTGTCTTCGAGTATGGAATGGGACCTCGGCGGTTGGAGATCCTTTTTTTCCTTGCCTCGTGCTTGTGCTGTCGCCCTTGCTGCAGCAAGGAATAGTCTTGTTGTTTCTTTAAGGTGGATGCTTAGGGTATGCTGCCAATGCGATCTGCGCACACTCGTCTTTCTTTATGACTTGCCTCGGAGCTTACCTTTTTTTTTGAAAAAAAGAAACGGATGGATCTACTATGGGGAGTGATATCAGCACCTCCCCATAGTGCCCTTTCTGGATGCCCCGATCTACTGGTGGGAAGCATCACCTGCTCGAAACTGGGTCTGGCGTCCCTTACCTTTATCCATTGAAGTCATGTTGTTTGCATATCTTTCCTTCTTTCCGCCTCTCTCGCCGGGCGGCTTTCTGTTAGCTACTCTTCCATGACCAGGCTGCCATAAGGAAAGAAGTTTGTTGCTGGATGTTGTTCTGTCTGTATTCCCCGTGTCTTTCCCAACTTTCTTCCAGCTTTCCTCCAGCCTCTTCAGGCTCTCTGTTGGCCGCCAGATGGGACAAAGTTTCTCTAGATGTGTGTGTAGATAACCTGATATCCTGGATTGAAAACAAAGGTACTCGACATCCCATTGTAGTACATAGAGGGGCATATCACCACTGAATCGCCCGGATTACGGTCCACTGAAGTGATGACCAATCCATCAAATTGTTGCTTGAGATCACCAATTACCCACCCTCTCGGGTGGGGTTTCAATGTTTTTTGTTCTATAGTACGTGTGATAAATTGAGAAGCGGCTTGTTTCATTTCATGCGTTGACAACATCTAAAAAAACAACAGGCAACAGCATCAGAAGCGCACCGGACTTTCCCGCATATAGTGAAGTAATAAGGTCATAGATTACTCGTTTGACACGGCAACGAGCTTACCACTTTCATCGACGAACAACCGAACCCTTGAAACCTCAACCTTCCACCATTACTGATGGGGTAAGACTGAGAACGACTTGTAGGTCCAAAAATTTCGCAGAGTCTGTGACGTTGCTAACGCACGAAGAAATTGCATCCAATGTGACGTGTGGAGGGGGACCCTCCACTCTCGAAAACCGCTTACCAGTTCGTCACGGACCATCGACAATTGTTCAGCCAGCTTAACACGAGGCACATTCTTGGCGTTCATAGCCAAGGGGTGTACATCCTCAAGTTCTCTTAAACGGAAGATGGCATGCCCTTCTTTCTGAGGAAAGGGTAAACCCTAGCAAGTGCAAGTAAGCACACCACGCGTCACGAAAATACGGTGGTTGTGCAACAATATGGACACAGACGGGTTCTTGACCCATACGATCTGGATCTTCTTCCGAGCTCGATGCAGAAAACAACAAGGCAAATCACAATTCATA